TCAAATTACTACTGTTGTGTCTCGCATGACAGGAGAAGTACATCATACTTCTCCTGTCAGCAATAGAGTCGTGCCTGTCATCTATTTAACTCCTGAAATTTCAGTGGACATGTTTTGAATGGAAATAGGGTGACTTCCGCCTTGCATCGAAACTTCATATATAGTTAATAGAAAGAGGAGGCCTCGATTAACCGTATATGAACTTTCCGATTCAATCAACTCCTAATCTCTTCATATCTGAATTCGACTTTCATCTACCTAACTGCGTTCTCGAGATTAAGGAAGGCCAGACAGTGGGCATTTATAGATCTACAATGGGTTCAAATTGCAGCCCAACATCAATATAGAAACAACAGTTCCAGAAGATTCTACCATTGCTCAATTTAAGTGGAATCGACTTAGTTTATGAGCGTCTTCGAACATTTTAACTCTAACAAAATGGATTACACCTCGTCTCTGTGGGCGCGAGTGAAAGACTACAGACAAAAAAGCAGAATGATCTGTCTCTATAGAAAGACAGACAAAATTCTGTCTTTCAAAAAATCGGAATTTTTAGCATTAAATTGAGTCGCGACGCAACAATAGAATTTCGACAATTGTCTGTTGCTTTGTTGGAATGCGATTTAGTGAATTGTTTCGATTGTTTTCTGAGTTTTGCTGTAGTTTTTGCAATTATTTTGGGTAAGTTTAGTCCCTGATCTTTCTAGATTTAAGTATTTTTTAAGATTGTTAGGTACTAAATCACAATTAGCAGCGATAATTTTCCCACAACGAATATTTCGATAACAACCGTTGTGTGGTTTCTTCAAAGAGAAGATTCGAGTCTTTGACTTATTTTGGGGGAGTCCATTCAATCTTTTCGTTGTTAATTTTCGTCAATCGAATCGAATTGTTAAAGCAAACTCGAATAATAAATTTTGTAGTCTCCCGTTATAATTTTGTGTGTGCATATTACATATGCGTACACATTACATCCCATATGATATTATTATAATGAATCTGACCTTTAATGAATTAGAATAAATGAGTTTATTCGTCATTAATTTCTTCTAGAATATTTTCATTAGTTTTAATGACAATCAACAGAACTCTTATGAAGCATAGAACTGTTATTATTATAATATATTTAATACATAATAATTGAATTTTAACGTTTTCGTTTATTATTCAATTACAACTTTATATTCATTTGTTATTAGAATTTTTCTTGTAATTAAAACGACCATTTTCTATCGTGTTTATGTTATTAAATTTTCATTTAATTTTTGTAATATTGTCTTAATTTAAGGTACTTAAAAGTATCTTAAAAGTTGGTTATTGATAAGTCATGTGACTTTCATATATATATGTAAAGTAAACGACACTATGGCCATTGGCCTTTTCCAACTGTAAAAAATACATATATAAAACACAAACAATCAACAAAGAAAGAAAAAAAAACGCAATTTTTAACAACTTTTTAAAATTGTTCCTAAGTTCTCAAATCTTTATAATATTTAACAACTGAAAATAAAGATGTAAATTTACACATACACCAAGCAATTTTTCACCATATCCTAAATTTATTTAATTTAAAATATATGCTCTCAATCTAAAATTAGTAATGTACTGCCTCGCCCCTGTACATCGTACTTTTCCTGTTAGCAATAGATTCGGGCCTGTCCTCTATTTAACTCCTTTCGAGAAAAGAGTTTCGAATTGAAATAAAGTGACTTCTGTCTTGCATTAGAAGTACGCCAATCGGGACCTCCCGTCTCTAATTCCAATTCTCTGGTGTCAAAATGGAAAAACGACTCGTAATTTAACGTCGACGTCATCACTGAGTCGGGGGAAATTTCATTTCTTGTAAGAGACAAAACATGTCATAACTTCTTCGAGATTCCGTAAACTAAACAATTGCAATTGATTCGTCGTTTAGTTAGTTAAACGTCGGCCTGTCATAAAACTGCTTGAACATAACGAGAAATGAACATTATCCATTGTTTAGGCATCAATCGTAATCGCAGAATAACGTCAGGATGGCCGAGCGGTCTAAGGCGCCAGACTCAAGGTAGACCTTTCCTGTATAATTCGGGAGCGTGCATTCTGGTCCACGATAGTGGGCGTGGGTTCGAATCCCACTCCTGACACGAACTTTTGTTATGAGCGGTTGATTGAAAATGTCTATTTTAGTGTGACGTAAGCGCNGAATTTCTATCGATACAAAAGCACGAAATAAAATGCTATAAAACAGAGATTATTAAACTGAAGTCTGTCTCTTTGTTAAGAATAATTCTCTAACTTAATATCAACTTAATAACAGAAAAGTTTTCAATAAACGAAATTACAAAGACTCCTGTCTTTGTAATTTCGTTTTTGAGGATTTTTCTGATCTGCCACCGTCTAATGTACTGTAGTGTTCAATGTAGAATACAGCCGAATACAGAATAAGGTTAAAAATTGCAGCAGGTTTTCTTGCATATGTTTAGAGCAAATGAAATTTTGATTAAGATTAAAATATTCACAATTCTGAAGAAAAAACAAGTTTTCACGTCCTGTACTTCTTACCCAAACTCTGGAACAAAACAGTCTTTTAGGGCGGAATCGAGCTTTCGTGGCTTCTCGGGCTGTCTCAACATCATTGTATTTCTTTTTTAGCGAACAAATAGTTACAATAAAATTTATAATTCATTTAAATAAATTGAAATGCGCGTCATCCTATAAAAAGTAAACTCACGCGAATTAAAGTTTTTAATTGTTTACGCTAAACTACTTATTAGAACTAAAATCAGAATAAAATAAAATCTTAAGGAAAAAATAACAAATAATTTAGAAGTAATTTATAAAATATTAAAATTTAAACAAAAATGTGTTTTTGATCGAAAATTTTTGAAATTTTTCAGGCAGATTTGTGTATTATGGAGATTGATGCTATTAAGTTTTTGTGATTTTAGGTCGAGCAGGTGAGGAGATAAAAGGAGTCGTGTGTATCTCTAGTAGAGTCGGAGTTAATGACGATTTTACTCGGTATTAGCATTTACAATTCTTTTATGAAACCCATTCCTATACTCAAAATTAAGCTTTTTGCCATTTTACAATAGTTAAAAATATAAAAAGATTTTTTAAATACTGTAAAATATCATAACAGTTGATGCCACTAAATGTTGCCGGGAAAGTTAAGCTACTCGTTGCTGGACTTTTTGTGTCTGCTGTTTGGAAATCTTCTAGTGCCAGACATGCCAGTACAACAGTCAAAGACCATGTACGGCTGAAGAAAGCAAGATGGCCAATACATTGAATTCTTTGCCATCTGGGACATTTTATCTGATTGTGAAGTCATGTTGGAGCAGTGAATAAGCGTATAAATATTAAAGTTGCGCAGTTTTGGATAAATTTCTTATTAGAGACGTTATTATTGACAGTTGTGAAAGATGACGAAAAGAGTAAAAATTCATAATAAAACAAAAATCAGCAAAATATGCTTTGAAAAACTTGGAATTTAGTAGTGAAAAATTCGCATGAGAAGTAAAATTACATTAAAATGAGACCTGCGAGCCTTTTAATAAACACGTTTTTAACATCAGCGGAAAAATATTTTAAAGATCCAGCAACTAATTGCTTAACTTTCCCGGTAACATTTGATGACGCCATCTCTTACATTTTATTAAAATCCTTCTATATTTTAAACTATTATAAAATGGCAATAAACTTAACTTCGAGGGTGGAGACGGGTTTTATAAGAAAAAAAAAATTGTAAATGCTAGTAACGACTAAAGTCATAGTTAAGTCCGACCCTACTCGTAATATGACACACGACCCCCAATGGGTATCCCTCGACCCTCTCGACCTTTAATCACCAAAATTTAACAGCATCAATTTCCCTAATACATAAACCTTGCAAAATATCAGAAATTTTATACAAAAAGTACAGGAGTTATTAGGCTTCGAACAGGGTGAACAAAATCGTGCTCCATACATACACACAAACTAACATCCGTGCATACAGAAAACCCCCAATTCTCGACGTTTCAAGATTCCCTGAGTCCAATAATATTAAAATCTTCGGGATTATTTTTTGACCGTTACCTGATAGTAAAAATAGATCGAGTCATTTATCGTGACATCGTCATTCCGGGCTGTTCTAAATATATTTAATTTAAAGTATATTCTCTCCACCTCAAATTAGTAGTGACTTGGCCCTGTTTATTATACTTTTCCTTTAACGATAAAGTCGTGCCGGCAATAGGGTCTAACACCATTCGGGAAACATTTTGAATTGAAATAACGTAACTTCCGGTTTGCATCGGAATTCGTGTATACTTAATCGGGGCCGCCCATCCCTAAGGTATTCACGTCTGGTCTCTTTATAGATTTCGTGAAACATTAGAAAATGAATTAAATACGAAAATGTAAGAAAATGCTACGAGCATTCTGTTACTCTAAAAGATAATGTTCTTCCTATCAAATTGGTTCCTTTTATTGAGATTTGACAGCATTCAAATAACATATAAAATTATATCTAAGTGAATTTATCTCTTAAAAGCTGGCTTTGATTTAAAAACTTTTTCTTTTTTTAATAATAAGGTCGGCCCTCATCCTCTGTATCACTCATTTCCATTTCATTAACAACGGATGAAGTCATTTCTTCACGGTTGTGATGCTTATTCGCGATTCGGGAAGAGACAACTGAACTACTTCCGGAGATATCGGCTCCTATAGAGAACCTGAACCGATTTTTGAGTGGAGCCATCGGAGTGCAATATGTTTTAACAGAAGCTGAAGTCACAGAAAAATAAAAATTTCTAACTTTATTAATTCCGAGGAATTAAACTTTCCGTTTAATTGCAATGAAAGAGAAATGTACATTTAAAACAATGATAAGACTTTGTAAAGAATTCTCCAAAAGCTCATTTTAATACATAAATGAAATTTCATATATTTAATCACGTGATTTCACATTAAATGTACTTTCATAATAATGAATTACAACAATTTTTAATAATAAGCTGCATTTAACAATATTCTATTGTTGCTATTGCGAAGCGAAAATGGTGCGCTGCCTAAAAAGGTTCTTTTTGCGAGTGTGGAGTAATAAGGAGAAGAAGAAAGGGTAAATTTTCTCATTAATTACATTTATAATTGCGATTTAATTAATATTAATTACGATATAATCGAATTTCCTTACAGGAGAGATGATGATGCTGAACCAAATGCTCAGCAAGTTACAGATTGTCCTACAAAGGTAAGATATTACTCTTTCTCTAGGAAAATCAGTGTTATTTATGACTAAGATTGAGTTAATATCTATTTTTCTAAAGAAGTTTTAAATACTTTTTTCCAATAATGTTGCAAGCGTAAATGATTTTTATTATTGATTTTTCTTAGTTGGACGAAAATTGTCTTGGAACAACGTGTCTCCATTCAAATAGAGAGGATTCGTAGTTCCCAGACAAGTATTCAAAGAGGAGAAAATTTATAGAATTCTGCAGGAATGCATTCTATAAATTCTGTTGTTGTTGTCGTATGTCGGGCGAGATTTCCGATTCACAGGTAAGTTCTCGTTCTTTATACAATCCTTTAATTAAAGAAGTTTATAATTAAAAGATTCTGCGATTTTAGAACTGCGAATTGGAAAATAATCTTGCGCATTCTCAAATTCGATTGGATTCATCAAAATATGATGAAAAAATTCGTAATGAAAATTACGAGATTAAAGAAATAGGAAAGGGAAATTTCGGTACAGTTTTTTTGGCTCGGTGTAAAAATTCAGACGAAAAAGTGGCTTTGAAAGCCGTCAAGATGAAGCGCTTTTGTCTCGCACAGGTACGCTTTAAGCTTTGTTTTTGATTGTAATACGGCGTCAAAAAACAGAACATGTTTATTAAATTATTCTTGACTTCAAAAGTCATCAATTCACACATCATTTAATGTTATTACACCTTTATCAAAACTTATTTAATTATTGATGATGCACTAAGCGATATTCTATAAACATTAATTAGAAATATCAACAGAATATTCTTAGTTTAGTGTATATTAAGAAAATGTCTTTATTTATAGAGGCGCGAGATAAACAAAGAAAAAACTGCATGGACGTCCGCATCGAGCCATCCCCATATTGTGACGTTAATAAGTTATTTCAAAATGAATACAAGGTAAATTTTAACCTTTNAATATTCGAATAACTAATTCAGTTTGTTTAATCAAGACTGTCGAATATTCAATTTCAATGTGTGCGATAATCAAATTTTAATGAGTAATCAGAAGCTGAATAACTTACTGTAATACGAGTTGACTTTGAAAGTTTACAGATAAAAATATAATTAAAACTTAAAATTAACTGTTGTAATTAATTTTTGTGATTTCTTGTCTTTTCAGGATCCAAATAAACGTCTTCAAGAAGGAGACATCCAAATACACAGATTTTTTGATGATGTCCCTTGGCCTGAATCAGTTCGCACTTGACTGATTCAATATATAAATATTCAAAAGAATTATNTTAAACAAATCAATACCGTCAATGTCTGTTCCACTACTCGAATCGTCTTTAAGCTTCAGATTTAAATCCTAACCAAGTTAAAATATCATTAATTATACTTAGACCCATGTCAGAAGAATTATTAACAAAATAATTGCAATTTAATACGCAATAGAACTGTTCGAATGCGTACAAGTACAAATTGAGAAGGAAGCCCTGTGGGGATTCCCCAATTTCGCCAGTCCTGTCAACTTCTGTCATAGAGCACAACTATGAGTACTTGGCTTTCGGGCGCCACCGGATAGTTCAACATGCCGACAGACGTTTCGCATTGCATTTCAATTCTGATAAATGCCAATAGAGGCGCTGTTAATGCTATAATATAGGTTAATAAGAATATAGTAATTGCGCTCCGGTCGGATTTTTTTCTCCTTGCGAAGACATTTCTTATGCTACAAGTAGGGTGGGTTTTGGGACAATGACTTTGAATATTACGTGACCGATCGCTCGACTTGCCGCCCCCCTGGACGTGCCGCCCGCGTGAAGTGCACGCCTTGCACGCCCGCTTACGGCGGGCCGGAAAACACGTCATAACTTCTTTCGAAATTCCGTAAACTAAACAATTGCAATTGAATCATCGTTTAGTTAGTTAAACGTCGGCCTGTCATAAAACAGCTTGAACATAACGAGAAACGAACATTATACATTGTTTTAGGCATCAATCGTGAACATAGAATAACGTCAGGATGGCCGAGAGGTCTAAGGCGCCAGACTCAAGGTAGACCCTTGCTGTAAATGCGGGAGCGTGCATTCTGGTCCACGATAGTGGTCGTGGGTTCGAATCCCACTCCTGACACGAACTTTTTCTTATGAGCGGTTGATTCAAAATGTCTCTTATAGTGTGACGTAAACACCTGTAAGACATTTTATAATTCTTTTAATTCGAAACTATAATGCTAATCGGGTCAGAACTTTGCGACATGTTGAATTCCGTTTTGAAACTGTCGCTAAAGTAGAATAAACATACGGAAACGTTGCAAAGCGTCGAGCAGAAAATCTGCTTCGCCGCACGTGTGTGAAGCAGAGTTTCTGTTCTAAATTCAAAGCAAACGAAATTTCTGAATTCTACTGTCGATGTCGCCTTCATTGCATGAACGATGACAGGGCAAAGAAAAAAAAGACCCTACCGCGATTTGAACTCGGATTCAGAGTCTAGAGTGCCACCATGGGACCTCGCCAGACTCGCCTGTCGCATATCACCTTAATGCATTGCAGATTGCCTTACCGACTATCACCTAAAGATATCGCCGCATCTGTTGGTGCCGATAATGGAAATCACTCCGTCTACACTTTCTCCTTAGAAAGCGAAGCTGTTGCCACAAATCTGTCGCGAACAGAATGACGGTTCAGGTCGGCGGACGTGGTGAAAAAGAATTTAAGAAACGTGTTTCGTTTCGTCGTGTGGAAAGCAAACGGATCGTAAATTGTCGATGGCTGTCCGTGATCGGTGTCTAAATAATCGAATCACTAATTCGTTTCAAGCGTGTTTTTATCGGAAGCGGTCACGGCGCTCGCACCACAGAGGCACAATACTGACACTTGCATTGCACCAAATCGTGCAATGCAAGTGTCAGTTGGAGAACGTCGCGATTACCACAACGAAAACAGCGTGCGATCGAAAATACTTAACGAATTTCAGCCGAATCGTTAAACGACGCCCATCAAATTAGTTAACGCGAAGAAAGATGAAAATGTTCCGCCCTTCGCGATATACGACGGAGGACGATAACTCTTTTGCGACACTCAAATCTCCGTTGCATGTGACGAACGAACCAAGAAATGTCCGTTGGCACGCTGTTTGGTTTATAAACGGGCTTTCGAGAAGCTGCTCACGCGGAGGTCTCATGGTGTAACGGTAAGCACTCTGGACTTTGAATCCAGCGATCCGAGTTCGAATCTCGGTGAGACCTTTTGTTTCGCTGGCAGAATAGTAAAAACGTTTTATACTTTTCCTTTTTCCATCTACATATCAAATAAGTCTTTTGAAATAAAGGGCTGACGAATTTACAATTTAATGAATATGATGATTTGGACTGGTGATTTTTCGACATTTTAAGACTCTATTGCGTATTTTTATTATATCAAAATGAGTGTTTAAATCGAAGTAATTTTAATCTTGGAAAGTTATTAGATTTTAATGCTGATGATCTTTCGTGATTTTAATTAAAGTTTGTGTGTTAAGCAAAATCACCAAAAACCAGTAAGTTTTGTTCGTGTGAAATATCGTAAGTTCTTGTGGACGAAATATTTAAATCATCCCCACACACAAACGAAGAAAACGAGATTATTTCTTTATAAGCCATTTATTTTCAAAATTCTTAAAGTTGCAATTAAAAAACTAACGAGCAATTATTTATTGTGACACGGTCACAATGCCGGACGGCAATTTTAAATCATATTTTTAATTTATTTAATTTCAAATATATGCCGTCCACCTCAAATTACTACTGTAGTGTCTCCTCCCCGTACAGTACATCATACTTTTCCTGTCAGCAATAGAGTCGTGCCTGTCATCTGTTTTAAATCCCGAAATTTCAGGGGAAATGTTTTGAATGGAAATAAGGTGACTTCCGCCTTGCATCGAAAGTTCATATATAATTAATTGAAAGAGGAGGCCTCGATTAACTACATATGAACTTTCCGATGCAATCAACTCCTAACCTTTTCATATCTCGACTTTCATCTACCTAACTACGGTCTCGAGATTAAGAAAGGCCAGACAGTGAGATTTATAGATCTACTATGATTCAAATTGCAGCCCAACATAATATAGAAACAACAGTTCCAGATGATTCTACCATTGCTCAATTTAAGTCGAATCCACTTAGTTTATGAGTGTCTTCGAACATTTTAACTCTAACAAAATGGATTACACCTCGTTTCTGTGGGCGTGAGTGAAAGACTACAGACAAAAAGCAGAATGGTCCGTTTCTACAGCAAGATAGACTCAGCAACCCCGAAATCGAAATTATATCAAAAAATCGAAATTTTTAGCATTAAACTGAGTCGCCACGCAACAATAGAATTTCGACAATTGTCTGTTGCTTTGTTCGAATGCGATTGTTTCGAGTATTTTCGCAGTTTTGCTGTAGTTTTTGCGATTTTTTTGGGTAAGTTTAGTCCCTGATTTTTCTAGAATTAGGTATTTTTTAACATTGTTAGGTACTAGATCACAGTTAGCAGCGATAATTTTCTCACAACGAATATTTCGATAACAACCGTTGTGTGGTTTCTTCAAAGAGAAGAATCGAGCCTTTGACTTATTTTGGAAAAGTGCATTCAATCTTTTCGTTGTCAATATTCGTCAATCGAATCGAATTGTTAAAGCCAACTCGGATAATAAATTCTGTCGTTTCTCGTTATAATTTTGCGTGTGTATGTTACATATGCGTAGACATTACATCCCATATGATATTATTATAATGAATCTGACCTTTAATGAATTAGAATAAATGAGTTTATTCGTCATTAATTTCTTCTAGAATATTTTCATTAGTTTTAATGACAATCAACAGAACTCTTATGAAGCATAGAACTGTTATTATTATAATATATTTAATACATAATAATTGAATTTTAACGTTTTCGTTTATTATTCAATTACAACTTTATATTCATTTGTTATTAGAATTTTTCTTGTAATTAAAACGACCATTTTCTATCGTGTTTATGTTATTAAATTTTCATTTAATTTTTGTAATATTGTCTTAATTTAAGGTACTTAAAAGTATCTTAAAAGTTGGTTATTGATAAGTCATGTGACTTTCATATATATATGTAAAGTAAACGACACTATGGCCATTGGCCTTTTCCAACTGTAAAAAATACATATATAAAACACAAACAATCAACAAAGAAAGAAAAAAAAACGCAATTTTTAACAACTTTTTAAAATTGTTCCTAAGTTCTCAAATCTTTATAATATTTAACAACTGAAAATAAAGATGTAAATTTACACATACACCAAGCAATTTTTCACCATATCCTAAATTTATTTAATTTAAAATATATGCTCTCAATCTAAAATTAGTAATGTACTGCCTCGCCCCTGTACATCGTACTTTTCCTGTTAGCAATAGATTCGGGCCTGTCCTCTATTTAACTCCTTTCGAGAAAAGAGTTTCGAATTGAAATAAAGTGACTTCTGTCTTGCATTAGAAGTACGCCAATCGGGACCTCCCGTCTCTAATTCCAATTCTCTGGTGTCAAAATGGAAAAACGACTCGTAATTTAACGTCGACGTCATCACTGAGTCGGGGGAAATTTCATTTCTTGTAAGAGACAAAACATGTCATAACTTCTTCGAGATTCCGTAAACTAAACAATTGCAATTGATTCGTCGTTTAGTTAGTTAAACGTCGGCCTGTCATAAAACTGCTTGAACATAACGAGAAATGAACATTATCCATTGTTTAGGCATCAATCGTAATCGCAGAATAACGTCAGGATGGCCGAGCGGTNAATGATACATGTCCTTCGTCATCGCTTACGAGGGACGTGTTCTTCCACTTCAGTTAATTAAAGTCGACGGTGACAACTTAGCACCATCTTTGGTCGTTTGAAACCTCTCAATTGAGGATGAAATTCTGACCGGAAAATAATGGATTTTCGCCAGCAACGTGCGTGTGAACACTGGACACCCGAATAAAAACAAAAGGGAAATATCGCAGTTAGCATATGTTTAAGCCACAATTATAATTATGTCGATCAATTAAATGTGTGTATAAACTTTTACTTAATAAAAGTTTTAAACTTTATATTAATTGACTACGTGTATCAGTTTAAATATTATATCTGCACGTTTTATTTTTGAACTAATTTATAATTGAAGTTAAAATAATCTTTCTAACAATTAAACCGAAAGTCAAAGCAGAAAAAAAGGTATACGATTCATAGCGAAAGAAGAATTTAAAAATAAAAGTGAAAATAATTTTAAAAAGTTGCGAATTTGTATCGAAATAAAATGCTATAAAACAGAGATTATTAATCTGAAGTGTGTCTCCGCGAGTACTTTGTTAACAATAATTCTCTATTTAATATCCACTTAATAGCAGAAAAGTTTTCAATAAATGAAATTATAAAGACACCTGTCCTTGTAATTTTATTTGTTAAGGATTTTTCTGGTGTACTGTGCGATCATCTGCCACTGCGTAATGAACTGTACCGTATAATGTAGAATACAGTCGAATACAAAATAAAGTTAAAAATTGCAGCAGATTTTCTTACACAAGTTTATAGGAAATTTAAAAATCAGAATTTATAATTTCAATTAAGAAACCAGGACAGTAGCTAAGACGTTTGTTTCTTCCGTATTTTATAAATTTTCTTCTTGCAAAATTATATCGAATCGTAGATTACGTTCCGTTTTATGTTCGCAAATTTCATTTTACTGTATCACGCTATTATTATTATAAGAAAAACATTCAGCGGTAACCACGGCAACGAATTTCCGCTATGTACTTTATTATCCACTATGTGGCGCTTCGAACGATTTTCAATTACACGCACGAATCTTTATCGATATTATCGATAGCGCGTTAATCTGATTGATCTGCTAATATTTTACGCAAATTATAGAACATGTCAAATATTTATAAATATAGAATAAAGAATTCGACTATCGTTTACTGGATCACGTGATGGCCTATTTATTATTTTCTATTTTTGGCACGTGGAAAAGCTTCGTACCTTTAAAGATCCCGAGACCGAATTTATGCTAAATATACGACATTTTATCGTCGATCCGGACGATGGAGATACGAGACTTCACTACGCCGCGTTTGACGGCGATTTAGACAGTTTAAAAGAGCTGCTGTCCGAACCGGAACGTAAACAATGCATAAACAGAAGAGTCAGACCCTTCGGAGCCACACCTATCCGCTTGGCAGCCACGAGTATCAATTACTTGACATCTCTCTTCTCTTATACATCTGTAACAATTATATAATTGTCATTATATTACAATAGGTGGTAGTTATTCCTGCATCGAATATCTGATAGAAAACGGTGCCGACATCGAAATTGTGGACGTCAAAGGCCAGACACCGCTATTCGTTGCCGTGCAGAAGAATTTTGTCGATTGCGTGAGTCTGTTGTTGGAAAACGGTGCAGATCCGAATGGCTCCTACAGAAACAGGTCTTCGCCTTTGTTTATTGCCGCGAAAGATGGATATGTCGATTGCATCAAGGTAAATTACAAGTCAAGTATTAACTGAGGAAGCTCACACAATGAATATATAATATATTCATAATTTGGAAGAAACAAAAGAATTCACATTCCTGTCCTTGAAGACTTTTATTGTTTTTTCCAAATTGTGAATACTTCATTGATTTTTTAATTAACAAACATTAACCTAAACACCGAATTATATTTGCATTTTTACACGAAATGCTGATTGTTTGCTGTATTAAATTCTCTCATGTAAAATACCTGCATTTGCAGAATTTGAAATCTATTTTGATAATCTGATCCAAAGTGTTACTTGTACTGTACTTACAAAAAATAATACATAAAACAGATCAGTTATTATAGATTACCACCATCCTCTGATGCTGTTCGCAACAAAGTACAAAGTTGGATTAGGAAGATCTTAGAATTTTCGGATGCTCTAACATTACTTAACTTATTATTATTAACACATTTTATTAATAATTGAGTTATAAATTGATGGGATTATTCACAATACTGGATAATTAGATATCAACTGTTGTAATGAATATTTTAATTGATTACAGTATATTATAACATGGTAAATGTTATAGCATTTTTAAAAACGAAGACATTATTGACACACTTGTGTGGTGAAATTTCTGGTAAAAATTACACACTTATAAACTGGAAAAACATCTATCTACAAAATTTAACATTAAATGAAAAGCTGATATACTAGAATAAGTATATTCATTGGAGTCTCTAAGTTTTTTTTATGATATTTATATATATATATAATTTATTATGTATGTTGAATTAAAGCCAGTTGCATGCATGATGATTAATCATATATTAATATTGAACAATTGAGAATTAATGAATTGGCTATTTGTATCAAATTAGCCAAATTTATTAATCATACAGAATAATTTCTCATTCTCTCAACTTTACTGGCAGTTACATTTAAGGATGGGTTGTGTAAAATAGTTACAGAAGTAATTTGTTTCACATTAAAAAATGTTTTTTTAAAAACAAAATGCAAATTAGAAGCTTCAAATTATAGTGACAAATTTGAATATCAAAAGTCATTGATTTCAAAATTATATATTAATATAGTGTGGGTTTAACAATAAGACTGGCCAAACTTTGATAGTTTATAATTAGCTTCATATTCTATCAAACTATTTGGAATAATAGCTTTTTTCCCTAATTACACTTCTGTTTTGATAGGGCCAAGTTCAAAATAGGACAAAACTTGGTCAGTCTTATATTAAAATATAAATACAGGATGTTAATAATATTTTTAGAATTCAAATGAACTTAAAAAAGAAAATACATAGGATTAGACATTAATTTTAACTTTAAATATTTTCCAACATGAATGTAAACATAAAAATCATATACATTTTTAAATTCTTTCTGCCTTGTGGACACTATAAAAGGGGTTTCATTGTAGGGACAGCTGGATGGTGCTCGATATATACAAGGGAGTGCACCCATAAAAATTTCCCAAACATGCTGATCCTGTGGGTCCCAGTGTCTTTTTTCACCTCTTGGCCATCCAATGTATTATATAATAACCTGATAATCTACACCTATTTCAATTACAAACTTGATTGCTAGCTATCTAATTTTTTCCTTGATTCCAGATGCAGGAATTTTATTGTTGTATTAATTTTACACTTATCAAAATATTAAAGAACTTTAAACCTGTGTAAGATCAGTGTTTTAATATTAAAAAATTTCATGGTAAAATGAAAAAAAATGAATTTTATCAATATTTATTCTTTTCTTTCTTTTTACAAGTTATATCAGCAGTTTGTAAAGAAATAAATATTAAAAATTTGTAATTTGCTTGTGTAATATACATGTAAACAAAAAATAAACTCCCATTATTTTACGAACGTTTGCAGCTGCTTCTGAAATATGGTGCAGACACAGAACTGATTGACAAATCGCTAGAGATTCCTGGATTTCCTTTATACATTTCTGCAATATATCAACACTATGAATGCTACACCGCACTGCTATTGGCAGGTGCAGAGACAGATTTGAGACGAGTCATGCCATCCTTACCGCCCTCGAAATATGCTCAGATTTCTTTATCCCACGCCTTGGTTAGACACTGCTGTCCTGCTATATATGCCAAACTGTTTGTTGAATTCGGCGGTTACTTGTGGCAGAAAGATTTGGAGGGATTGCTTGTAACGGAGTTAAATAAAGATAATAGTTGTAAAGCTTATTTTCAGAAAATAATAAGTAAGTAGTTTTTTAATATTTTTTTTATAAAATTAAATTTCATTGTAACTCTTGAAATTTTTTCCAGGTATGCCTCTGCGTCTTCAGTCAATCTGTCGCATTGCGATACGTAGATGGATGGGACGGGCTAAACTGGATAAAATTTTGAAATTGCCTTTACCTTTATATTTGTTGGACTATTTATTATATACAGATTTAATAAAATAATTTATATTTTTTAATGTGAATAAATCATTTCTTTAGAAATCCTTCCAGAAAAAAAATGACATATCTCTCTCCTAAAATAATAATGTTATTACTATTTATTTTTTGCCTTTTATGAAACTTTGACACATGTTTAGAGATTTTAACAAGAATTAGTTGACTATATTACAATATCTTAAAACAAAAACATAAAATAATCATCATCTTCATTGATTTGATTTGCATCTTTACAAGAGGGAGAAAAAGAAAACAAGATAGTAGGTACATATACCAGAATAAGTATCATTTACACATATGTGGGATAATAGGAAAGTCTTGCACAATCTGACAACACTGCCACATGGTGTATGCAATCATATTAAATGCTTGCATAAGCATTCTTGCAGATGAGAACTGGGTGAATGACCACAGCAAACAAGTGCTGAGCAGGAGACAAATGATGGATGTTTGCAGAACACTCAGGTACTGTCACACATGAAGATCAGCCTTGCTTACATCAAAATCAAATCAATACCTGGGAAAACACTCACAGACATCCAACAAAGCATTCGTGGAAAGGTGTGGAGATGACACTGCCAACCAAAGTATAGTGTTGTGTTGGGTGGACTTTTTTTGTCATGGTCGCTGAAGCATCTTGGATGACCTGAGATCCAAATGACTGAAAACTGTGATGAAGCAACTGTGGTGTGTGTGTTGCAGAACTGCTTGGAGAAGATTGTTGCATCACATGCAACAAGATTGATGCAGAGGTGGGAATATCACATTTTTTGGCACAACAAATCCTCACGGTCAATGTGAAAAGACAGATCTCCACAAGGTGGGTGCCACACCAATTCACACCAGAACAGAAACATCAATGGACTTGTTGAACAGATTCAATGCCTTGGGGTTGGAGTTTATCAAATGCCTCATCATTGATGAGTACTGGACCAGGGACTTTGAGTCAGAACTGAACTCTCAAAGCAGCGAATGGCGAGCAGTAGGTTTACCTCAACCGAAGAAGTTTCACAGGGCTTAGTTGAAATTGAAGCAGATGACAATTAAATTAATATGATATATGACCACAAGGGTGTCATCTTGAGAAAGTGAATTCCAGTGGACACAACTGTCACCAGAAAAGTCTATGCAAAGTCTTTGGTGGAAAATGTCCAAGATGCGTCCTGAGCTCCTACAACATGATGTGTTTATTCTGCACGATAACACACGGCTGAATATTGCAATGACTGTGACTGACCTGCTCAGATTCTTCAGCTGGGAGATCTTGCCCTATCCTCTGTATAGTCCTGACTCCAATCTCCTGACTTCATCCCCAAGCTCAAACTATCCCTGTGAGGACAGCAATTTGCCTCTGTTGCAGAAGTCTCGGTGGTCATTACCAGATGCATTCACCAACTCAACAAAAGTGGTAAGCTGATGGGATTTGTGAGCCAGCCCAAATGTTGGCAGGCAGTGACTGATCACAAGGGAGGTTACTTCGAAGGACAGTAATAACACACTGTAGCATTCCTTGGTTTCAATAAAAAAAAATGCTGTGCAAGACTTTCCTACTATCCCATGTATTATATAATTAATATCATCATATCAAAACATGACAAATACACCTAAATAAAATAAACTTAATTACAGGTAACCCTTGGTTTACTCTGCAGTTCTGTTCCTACAAAAGCCAATGCAAATCAAATCAGCATAAAATGAACTCATATTTACAGTGAGGTATAGGGTTAGTTCTAAATAAGTGAAAAATAAGCAAATAATTTTGTTTATTAATACAATATAATATAAAATACATATATTATAAATTTAATTTTTTAAATGTTTATTTTTTAATAAAGTGAAATGTTTTTATTAAAAAAACTTAAAAACAAATGATATTTCAAAGTTTCAGATCTCTGACATTTTTCAGAAAAAGTATTCATCTTTAATTGTTTAGATTTTTGTTTTCTCTCATTAAGAATTTTGGAATATGGTTGAATGGATGAGATGATGCACCTTTTTACATTTGCACTTCAATCCCAATTGTTGCCTCCCACCATGACACCTCCTTTATTCTTGCATACGTGGGTACATAAACATTTAGTATTTTAATATTAATTTAATGTAAATGTATACATAACCAATAATATTAAACAGAAAAAATAAATATATTCAATAAAAATCTTTGTTTTAACAAATGTACGTCATCACAACTCAGTAAATATGTCAACACAAACAAAAATCAGTCTAGTATAGGAAAAATCGGGAAATTACATGATGAAATGGCGAATTGTGAATAAATCATTTCTTTAGAAATCCTTCCAGAAAAGTATTTATATACTAAAAAAATGACATATCTCTCTCCTAAAATAATAATGTTATTACTATTTATTTTTTGCCTTCTATGGGCATTACTGTGAATCGGTGTAAATTGAGCTGGCGTAAACCGAGGGCTAGCTGTATTATACAAAGTCATTAAACAAAATTAATAGTTAGTATTATGCCATAATAGATTTAGTAAATCTTAAGAAGTTTATATACCAGGGGTGGGCAAGCAAAAGTTCAGTGGGAGCCAAAATGCATGGGAGCCACAGTTCTGTAACCATGATTTTATTATATAATATAAATATGATATTGAATTTTTTAAATAAACATATTTCACAAAATTGTGGAAATAAAATTGTAAACATAATAATAAAAAGCAGAAATTAACACTTTCAGCAAGAGGCGCATGCAACTCAAAAAGAGCTGCATTTGCCCATGTCTGTTATATACCTTAAACAATGTTATGGGACATCATCATCAAGCAAAGAATAAAAATTAAATTCATATCCTAACAAAGATTTCTTTAAATGTCTTAAAGGTTCACAAGAAATAAATATATAATTCTTAATATCCTCAACGACCAAATCACAAAAAGGGCACCTAGTGTTTTTCATAATACAGTAGAACCTCGAAAACTCGGCCTAATGTGGACCGAAGGGTGGCCGAGTTTGTGAAAATGCCGGGTTACCGGGAATGGGGTTAAAAAAAATAAGTACGAGTGTTTCCTCAGAAAATACTGTACTGTACTTGTATGTATTGTTTACTTGAGAATACAACAGAGAATAAACTGCCCAAATACCCTTAAACAAAGGAAAAGTATGT